CTATGCGTATGATCAATCGTTTGCAGTTCCTCGTTCGTTATTAAACATCATTAAATGGATGGAGTACACAAGCTCTTGCTTAAACCCCATCATCTACTCTTGCCTTAATCGCAGCTACAGAAAGGCCTTTCGTAAATTATGTCAACTTTGTCGTAAGCGCCGAGACAGAACTGGGTCCTCCGCAAGCACGAGCTCTCGATACAAACTGGGTTCATCTTTTACAGGAAGCACAATGGATTACCACAGTGATCTTGACCGTAAACGCGGGAGAAACAACTCTCTAATTAGAGATTGCGTTCGAGTTAATGATTCGCAAATATGAACGTTCGATCACTAAAACGAGAAGGGAAACTCAGACTAGATAAGTTTCGCAAAGACTTCTGGGACTGTTACCAGGGACAGGGAAAAAATAGCCCACGTTCGACATATTAAAATTCAAACATGAATCCGAGGCTTTCTGGTAATTTGTCTACATTTGGTTTGGTTTTCTTTGTGCTCAAGTCTCCTTTGGGAATTACGAGACAATGGAGTGTTGAAAAATTTGAAATTTGACCCTAAAGCCTCGGAGTCATGTTGGAATTTTAATTTATCGAACGTGGGCCATTGGCCACCGAGGCGTCCCCAGTAACGATCCCAGAAACAATTGCAGGACACATTTCGGTTCCATTTCCCTTCTCGCGAATTTCTCCAAATGCCTTCAGTGATCAAAGACAGGATTAACTCGGATTTTGTTACTTGCAATGGTGAAAATAGATAGTCTATTAGTTGCTGGATTAATAGCCTGCGTAGCTGCTCCGCGAGAAGAGCGAGTGCAAATCAATTTGAACCCTCGCGGCGTCGCCGCTCGCTTAGCGTAATCAACCTCGTCCCAGGGCGCTTTTCCCCAGCTTTGGAGGTGGGGTGGGAAAAGGCCCCGCCCCACCTCCAAAGTTACTCCAAAGCCGGGGAAAAGCGCCCTGGAGACGAGGTTGTCGCGTAGTGGCTCTGCCTCCAAGAGAGTACGCAACGCACCAGAATCTGAAGAATTACGCAGACCTTGGAGACTGTTATCCATCTCAGCTCCTCCGAGATGTACATAATTCTTCATATCATACGAAAACCGAATTCAGTAATTGTTTTTTTACAATAATTATTCGCAAGCAGGATGTTAGCTTGAAACGACCTTTATACTACTAAGGATTTCGGTATTTTGCCTCTTACTTTCTCACTTTTTTAAGGTGGCTCCGTCATTAATACAGGCGCGTTGAGCCATGACGAACTTTTCACCATAACTTGAATTTTGTTTTGGCTGTCAAAATTTGCAAAGAACAACAGATTTCATTCGGCAATACTCTGAAATATTCTGATTTTACTGCTTGAAAATACTTTTTGTGAAATTAGCGCATAAAAGGACCCTACCGTCGAGAGGAATTCGCGTCTAGTGAAAGATTTTGCTAATATTTTTGGCTGAAATTTCTGGTATTGGCTTTTATTGATATAATAAATATGCCAGATATATTTCAGGGAAATCGTTGGAGAAGAAGTCCGTAAGTAGAAAGTCGTTCAAAATTCAGTGGTGAAATTTTTTTGGAATTTCAAAAACAAATTGCTCTGAGGTGGACCGAGCTAGCCACCAGTTCGAATTTTCGGGTCAGGTAATTCCAGTGTTTCCTAATTCTGAAAGCCGGCAAAGGCCGATTGCCAATCATTTTATTCTTTAAAAAGTACTCTTTAGTTTTAGAAGCACTATAAATTGCTCCAAACCTTACTTTAACGCCGAATGACTCGTTGCTCAACATTTTTGAAATATCCCTCAGCAGTTTTGGCTGAAACTCCTGCTAAATACATTTTTATGTATTGCAATGCATCTTCAACGGCTCTTACTGCTGTACGTTGCTTCCAATTCCAGAAAAAGGTATTGGAACAGTACGCTACCTTGTATCAAAGATCAGATAGAATTTTCAAGCACCTTTGTTTATGACTACGAAATGAGCACGGGCGGCAGTTCTAAGAGGAATTCTCACCTCGCCAGGTGGGGAGGAACGAGAGTGATACCCGTGCTTTCCCCCTCGTCTTCCCAACAAAAGGGAAGAAGGACCGCCTGATCGCAGGTTACCCAAGGCCCGGTTCAGACGTTGCATTTCACACTGATGTGCCAAATGTAATGCAGATAAGCAAAAACAGATTTTCCCTATTAGCATTAAATTCGTCGTCAGGAGGGATGATTGTACATGTATAACCATCTAGTGGTATTCAAACGTATCGCATTTTGAATATTACAACCATCAACGGATGGAGCCTAAAAACTTGTTCATTCTTACTTCACATAATCATTGAAACAGAGCTGCTTCAACCGAAGATATGCGTAAAAGAAAAGACAACAACTACAACGAATACAACAATAAAAATATTAACTGAATACCCTTCAAAAATGCACTGAATTTTATCTGCTACATGCCCAAATATTTATTTCTGAGCATTTTTCTTGAATCCTCAGTAATTTCTTTTTATTGTTTACCGGTTTCCTAAATAAAGGACAAGCCCTTACTGAAGTTTTACACAACAAACGTGACGAAATTTCAATTCAAAGAAAACTTTCCCGGTTACCTTAGTAGCTAACTTAGAAGAATGCAACTGAAAAACCCCTGTACTTTATGGGTGCTTGTTGGCATTTTGCCTTCCCAAAACCAATCCAGTATTCTTCTGTTTTGAATTTTGTTGGTCAAGAAGGGGACTTGAGGACGTAATTTACACACACTGATAGGCACGGCAAGTAGGCCTTGGACGAAAGTATATTCGGAAAATATAATTGATTGCCAATATCTCAGGATGGAAATAGAAATCATGAGATCCTCTTGTGCCTAGCCTGCCAGATGATAGACATTCGAAGGGGAAGGATTAAGAACGAAGGGGAACACTGCCCGAAAGCCATTCCATGACTCCCGCCGTAAATCACATAACGCCCAATCAAAACCTTTAAGTCCTTCGCGGGAAACTTACAGCACGCAAACCACGTCTCTTATTCCTTGCACCCTCTTGGTCCTCTTGAGAGAAATGTGTAAAGTAAAACCGCATAAATCGGGTTTGATTAATGGTCGTGCGTCGCGGGTCGTGGGTCCAAGTCGTGGGTAATGATAAATGACATAAATGGCTAGTAGTTCAGTAATACTGGACTTATAATAACTAAAAAATAATTATTGTTTTTTGTAATTTATCAAAGTAACAGAACATAATAAATACAAAAAACATATATTACCCTTCGTGTGGTTTAGTTAAGCTTCATTGTATCAGCTCGGTTCTGGTGACACTACCATTTCAGTGACGTTACTGATTCAGTAACGAATCAACAGGCCAGTTCAGAGTTTCCTCATGTCTGATTCAAAAGAGAGCTAAGTGCACAGCCATTAATATGAAAATGATTTTCTATTCTCATGCAAATGAAACTAATTATCACAAGAAAGGTTTTGCACTTAGCCTCGTTTTTAACGTGAAAACTCGGAAATGGGCTATTTGTTTGTCTTAACTGTCTTTGAGTTATGTGAACGGGGTAAATTGTTGATTATCATTAGCTTTCTACTAACTATTAACCATCAGTCAGTAATCATTACCAGAGATTCATTTCAGGGGTTGAAACGTGTAACTCTCATACGTTTGCTTTGTTCAATGCTCGTGAATTTTCATTTTTGCAAATACATACAGTCAAACCCCGTGAATACGGAAACTGGGCGAAAGAAAGTATTCGTATTAACGGGGTGTCCGTATTAAGTGGGGTCATGAAAATACCGAAAACAAAAAAGACTTTTTAGCGCGGTTTCTTTTGTTGGTACAAAATATTCGGCCAACACCGAGAATTCCCGCCGCACGCGAGAAAAACCTCTGGTACCCAGGGTAGTACAAATATTGAGGAACAAAAGAGGACATAAGCATCGTCAAATTAAACATCTCTAACCTTCACAAAGCCATCATTTCTCGGACTAAATCCACGGAAAGCGACTCAAAACTCGTTCATTTATATATTACTTAATCAAAACCGTTCTCTTCATAATTCACGTAATGCCAAAATAGTCTGAAATGGACATCTACAATTCACCCCATCCGGTGTACTGTAGGCTAGGAACATCGAAAAACTGTCGGCTGAAGGTTTTTTTACATTCAAAGAGGAAGGTTCTATCAAGGCACACAGTTGATAGTGAAGGGTTCGTATTAGCGAGGATGACTTTCTATGAGAATCTGTTGATGGGCAAGAAACAAGTGTCCGTTGTCCGTATTAACGGGTGTCCATATTAAGCGAGTTGAATTTAAAGAAAATGTAGGGGCTTCCCCCAGGAACAAAGAGAAGTGTCCGTAATAACGAGGTGTCCGTAAAGCCGCGGGATTCGACTGTACCATATTTACAACGAGAACAAAAGGTAACCGACCAATCAAATTTCGTAAAGACGTGACGTAATTTTACTCCACGTTCTCGGGAGGGAACCTGAGGGAGCTCAAACAACAACGATGGCGACAACTACAAACAGCAGTTTTTAGTGTCGTCACGCAACGCTCCTAGTGGGGAGGAACGTTGCGTGACGACTCTAAAAACGGCTGTGTAGCAGACCACTACCAAACACGTCACTTAAAAAAGTGTATTTGCGTTGCTTCAAACTTTATCTTCCTTATTTCATCTAGTTCAGCTCGTCTCAAGACTGTATCGAAGTTCAGGAAAATAAAAAGAAGGTCGCTGTATTGTGTTTTCGCCCTCCACAAAAAAAAATGTATATTCACGAGCATTGAGCGCGAGTTACACGTTTCAACTTCTTATGAGTTTCTGTCATTCTCCGAGCCAATTTCACAAGATTTTTACCCACAACCGACGAGCATACACAAACAGAGTGTCAGTTCTGTAAAATTAACTAGGAACCAAACGAGGGTACGAAGTACTACTCACTGCCAGCTATTTTTTTTTTTCACGAGATTAAACTGGCTGTCTACATATCGTGATAGCAGGTTGCCTCCCGTATATCTATCATATGTTTGTCACGTGTTTGCACTCGTGAGCGGTAATCCGCTGGCAAGGCAAGCCCACAGCTTACTCTGGTTTTGAAGTCTCTTGTTGATCTCAGCCAGAGCTGATGTGAATGAATTGCTTGCTTGTTTTGATTTTTCACGGGGGAAACATTCTCAGCCACCGCAGTCTCGTGGGTTTGCTTATATTCCCGTTGGTTTTGTACCGCTGTGGCCGTCTGTTCTCGTACGAGTAACGATGGTCTTGTTCGTTTTCTTCTTTTTCTTCCACGAAGCAAGTTGGGTAATCTCGTTCTCTAAAGTTGTATTCGTAAAGATAACAACCTAATGAATATCACAAGGCCGGTAGAGCTGTTGGTAAATTTTACCTTTCTAGTGTGGAAATAAACATGAAATAATAAACATTTAATGACTGGTTGCGAGGAAAACACTTAATCTTGTAAACAAAATTAACTGTTTCTCACACGACCAGTCATTAAGAAATTTGTTATATAGCTGGAAATTTTAAAGCTGGAAATTCATTAAACCTCGCTGTAACGGCAGTCGTCGGTCAACATTCGCGGGTAACAATGCACTGTTTTCCCCCTGACGTCATAGATTTTGCAATGTTGCCCACTCAGAGATTTTGGCGGGAATCAGTGTCATGTGACCTCGAAGTAACCAAGGAGAGTGCTCGCTGTTGGGAAAAATTTCCAGCTATATGACGAGCGTCATTGCTTCTGTCGCCGCATTTTACAAGTTATTTCGACCATTTTTGTTAATCCTTAAAAGGAAGGGGAAGACCTTTAATCCTATGGTTTTTACAGTCTCTTTGGTGTTTTCTCATTCTTTAAAATCAATTTTTTGGATAAAGTTTCTGGAAATTTGCAATATATCGACTCGAAATCGTTGTAAAGCTTTTCAGCCGGTTAAGAGGTAGGAAAACTTAATTCTTCCAAACCGTGTTCAAAATACTAGGCAACAGTCAAGTCATTGTTAAACTGAAACAATTCCTACAAGTAGACCAAACTCTGGTAAGCCAGTCTCAAAGTCGGAGAAATGAAGAGGGATAGCCGAGTAGAAATAAGTCTATACAGTGGAGGACACTGTCGGAACATAATTTGGTAGCCACTGTTTAGAGGTACCCTCCCAACAGAAATAAAATAAAATCGATAAAACAAAAATAAAACCAATTTAATCATCCATGCCTATAAGCATAAGAAACCTGTTTGGGTATCAGCGTCGCTCACAACACTTGTTTTCTCTTCGTCTGGAATACAAAGTGCCTAAATAAACTTTACGATAGTCCCACCTGGAACCGAGGCTTTGCGATTCTTCCTTTAATCTCGGATGTACAAACAAATTCATACCCCAATATGTAGGCTTTGATAGATTGCTAGCATAATTTTTGGCATAATTCCCAAGATTGCACCCGCGTGCTAGTTGTTAGTTGTTTGAGTTTTTGTACTTGTAAGACAATGTATTTAATGCACTCTTAAATTTTCAAGATGTAAATACGGTAAATGTATTTGCCATTTACTTGTTTGTCGCATAGTAATTATTGAGGTGTGTTGAACAAACTTAAACTAAATAGTAAAAGCATAATTTCTGCAGTTTTTGCTAAAAAGAGCATAATTTACAAAAACTAGCATAATTATTGGCAAAGTGCTTAAAACTTGCATTTTGGGTAAAAATGGCTTCACCTTATTATGACGTCAAATCTGGTAACTATAACAACTGACTCTAATCAAAGTCTGTTTAAAGGTGTCTGAGAAATAAATGAACATCTGCCGAAGAAAAGAGGTTGAGGCTAAAACCTTAAAAAACTTTTGGTACCCCCACTCTCCATGTACATTCGAGGACTAAAAAATGATCATGAGCTACCGACCTCTCTCTGCTGTCCTTGGGGTGCAGCTCTGCTGCCCTTTGTGCGTTTTTTCTGCGCTTGTTTCTTGCTTTCCTCAATCACTAAACGCGTGTACAACTCGGCTCTGTAATCTGAAAAGAAAAGCAAAGTGGAGCCATTTAAAAACATTGCTTGAGCAACGCAGAATGGCAACCTGGTTCCCAGGTATTTTTTCGTCTCATGCCCCAGGAGAGGGAAGCGGAGGGCCTAGAATTCCTGTAAAACTGAAATCTTGTGACCCTGTTGCATGTTTTGGTAACATCCCCCGACGATCGGGACTTCAGAATTTCTTGACCACCCTGTATTTTGCTATCACTACTGAAGCAACGAAATCTTTGGCAGTTGGATCGTATTAGATGGTCTGTGACACTAATCGGAGAAATCGGAAGAGTTCAAGCCACCACGCCCCACATTTTAACGACAGCGTACCAGACGATGATCAATTATCATCTCTGGCAAATGAAATCACCGTTTGCTTGAGACACATTTCTCATAAAACTAAAATATCCTGAGCCATCTGAGTCAAAACGACACTAAAGAGGCAATCTCTCCTTAGCGACTTAAGGCGACCACCAATCGTGGTCGCTTACGGAAGATTCGAGGAAAAGCAAAGTAAACACAGTTTCATGAATAAACTATTGGTGGTGCCAGCCTTTCGATCAAAATGGTTTAGTTCCTACCAAATTAGAGGACAGCAATTTTCGCGCGTTTTGATTGGCGCTCTTAAATCCAGTTTGGCTATTCGAATTCACTGTTTACGGGACGTTTCACGACAGCTTCGGAAGGCGACATTTTACTGTGTTTCCTGGTGGGTAGAAAATTATTCTCCTACCAAATTTGCTACAAAATCAACAAAATGCGCTCGACAAATCCCAAAACACTGTAAATTTAAAAGCTCCTCCTTAGTGATGCCTTTGAATTACAAAAATAAAGTTTTCTTTTTCATTCAAATGATTTGGTAAATACTAAATGGCTCGGTGCGCAGCGCTAGATAGAATAACTCGTAGAATAACTTGATACTTCACGTCCCGGTATAGTCCACCACTATTCACCTCCCCTTCGAGGCGCGCATACACTACATGTAGTTGTAGAAACGACAAAAAGGGATCGCGCAGCAAGAAGTACGTCCCCCTGACTGAGTTTGATTCTGTGTTGTGTTTTCCCCTACATTCAAAGTACTCACAAACTAATATATAGTAGTCAAATAGTTGCATTTTTCCCGACCTCACCTGAAAATCTTTTCCCAGCGATTGTTCGTGTCTCTGTTAAGACTCGACCGCATTGACAAGAATTCCACGTTTCTGATATCTGTTAAAGCATAAAAAAGTTCAAGGGTACTTCACTTTCTCTCTTACTTTTGCTTGATTGCCATATAAAAATGTCGATCACGGCATGGAAGACGTGTTGCAGCAACCGGCAGCAATCACGATTGTTTTATCACGATACAACAATCACCATCGCAATACAGCACGATCGCGATATACCGGGAATGATACAACAATCGCAATACATTTCTGATCGCGATAGAGCAATTGTACGGCAACAAATCACGTTTGCCAAAGGCCAGAAGGGGAAACCATTTTACAATAATCGCTAACGCAATAGGGAAATCACAAAGGAAGTCGCGAGGCAACTATCGATATGCCATAATTGCAATCGAGGCTGGGCAGTAAATCGGGACACAACACTGGGGACGTCGAAAAGTAGTTAACGCCAAGGGATACAGTAATTGCGATCTTGACCGAGCCGGGTACATCGCGATAGAAAAAGTTTTGGACTCTTTGGAAATCGCTATACACAATCGCGATTTCGAAACGGGAATCGGGAAAAGATCTGATGCAACATTCGCAATCGCAACAAGGAAACTGCGATACAACAATCGCGATAGCCAGACACTATCGCAATTGTTGATTCACGATTTTCTAAAAGGAGGGTGAAAGGTCCCAAACAAAAAGCGAATTTTAGCATGAACGATACAGATGAGCAAGGGAGCTTGCTACATGTATGGCGAACGTCACGCTTTATTTCTTATTAATAGAATATCATACTGTTAGAAAAAAAATCGGATGACCACGTAATTCGAGCATCTATTCAACAACCGCTACGTTAGTAAAACTTTTTGACTAGGGAATGATAACTCGTCTATCTATTTAATGAAGTTGGCGAATAAACGAGAACGACTTGATGGTTAGAAATTGTCATTTTTGTGTACTTTTTCCGAGCTCTGCTGATTTTTTTTTTTTTTTTTTTTTTTACGATCTGCGCAAACTGGAAAGAGTGAAATAGACATTCTGGATGTACATGACATGGAAAATACCGTAAAATTCCGAAAATAAGCCCCTCCATGTATAAGCCCCTCCAAATATAAGCCCCCCCAAACCGGTAACGCAAAAAACCCTCCGTTAAATCGCCCCTCCAAATATAAGCCCCCGGGGACTTGTACTTGGAAAATTGCCCTCAAATACAAAGTAAAACAAAGCAAAAACGGTAAATTTACTTCCAACTATAAGGCTAGCCCAATCGATTTTGAAACGCAAATTTCCCTCCGTAGATAAGCCCCTCCAAAAATAAGCCCCTCAAAAAGGGCCTTTGAAAAATATAAGCCCCGAAGCTTATTTTCGGAATTTTACGGTATTTTTGTAATAAACGCAAAACTGCAACAAAAAGCCGGCGATCTGCTTATTGCACAGGAAATGGCAATGACCAAAAATAAAGATAGAGAGATGTAAATTTCTCTAAAAATAATAATAACGATGATAATAGAATTTGCTTCTTCACGGCTGTCGCATACTGGCTAGGTTTTCTTCTGTCACAGGAACTACGACTTAATCAACTTCCGGGATCGTGACTACTTGAAGCAGTTTCAAACCAACTGGCACGACGTTCTGCCTTCACATATGCATCAACTTTGAACGGAACCGTTGGTTTTGCTTATCTGGACTATCTTTCCGTTGTAAAGGTGTAACTGAAACTACTTCCAGTTATGAGAAGTGCTTAGAAGAAATAAATTGCATGTGATGAATAACGCCGACTAAAAATGGTCAGGAGCTAGCTGAAAAACGAAAGATGTACGTTTACGACTCGCAAAAACGATTTAAGGTTTTTTTCTTCTTTTTATTGAAAGTCATAAAAAAGATATCTTGTGTTTCAGTGTAGTTTCTCCTTTCACGGAATATTCACATAACTCGGAAGGAAAGGAAGCTGAGAGACAAGAATGGACGACTAGTTCGTTTGCTGAAAGCCTGAAAGCTTCTCAAATTTTGAGAAGAAAATCGCTTGCTTTTATCTGCAGACTGTTGGACCACTCTAACGTACATTGAAACCATCTCCAATAAAAAAGAGATTTTAGATTACATGTTTAAAGTGAAAATGAGTCCTGCGTTATCGCATTCGGCAAAAATATTCATACTTCAACCAATTTATTCTGAAGTAGTTCCTTAGCCAATGGTTTGGTTATTTCATCTTCTCTCTGTAATTCAGACGGCAATGAGCAGACAATTTAAAATTCCTTCTTAGTTTTAAAATAAGGGGTGTTTTATAAGGAAGTGACGTTCGCTATAAAATGCCACTGAATTCGCACATGCCAAGCGTGTATATTGCAGTTCACGCTCTGTTAAACTGAAATTTTGTCTTCCTCCAAAATTATCCTTACACTATTTTTTAAATTTCCCTGAACTACAAGCGTTTTAATTTAAACAGCTTTTAGCCATATGGTGAAGAATTTTCTACTGTCGCGAAGGGAATGAACTCCCTCACTCAGTACAGCTGAACCCTAGTTAGCATGAATGATAATTCAGTGCAAGCTTGTCATGCAGACGTCTGCTACGACCTAAATGTGTATTCTCGCTGGAGAACATACTCGCAAAGTTTGTTTATGATGTTAGTTTCTAATCATTCTCTGTTCACTTCTCGAGGCAACCTAACCAGAATAAAACAGAACATTAGAGTATTGTGAGCGGAAAACCAGCTCTATCCACGTCTGTTGTACTCTTGACCTTTCAAATTATGAACCAGACTAAAATGATCGCTCTTTCGTTGCGACATGGTCGAGACTCACTCGGTGATCTCTTCTAATACGAGACTAACATCATTATAATTCATTTCTCTGAATCCTTGAAGAGAATCTTACCTGTCTGTTACAAGCGACACATTGTCTTATAGCGGCCATACTGTCAGTGTGTGTTTTCGTCTCGCGGTGAAATTACACAATTCATCGAAGGATAGAAGGGTCGGGCTATCACGTCATAAAGCATGTGACCACGCAGCCCAAAATATTGCAATTAATTCAGGTTCGTCTTTCTTGGTGTATTTCGTTATTGAAAAAGCGTTATCACTAAGTTGTCAGTATTTAAGGAATCAAAAGGATGGGTGGTATGAGAAATGTTTATTAAATCGTTCAAAAACTTAAGGAGTCTTTGTTTGGACAACTTTATATCTAATCGGCAGGTGGAAGCCACCCGAGGAATAAATTAACAAGATAACATGGAGCTTAGGAACACGAAAGCTGTCTCGCGATGAATGTTTTCAAAACTAGCCGTGAAAATTAAGTTAAAAATAGAAGTAAGAATAAATTTTCCCTTGAAAATCTATTCCGAAATATACGTTTAGCTTGTCAAGGATTGTTTTATTCTATCCATGAGGAAACTCCGAAAAAACGTTGAACAGATTTTCTTCAAGGCTGTGGCGAGATGGCTTTGCGTTTACAAGATGTATGCTATTATAGAATAGTAAGAGTTTCAAAAAAATGTCGTTAAATTTAGGCGAGTTTTCATTCGGTCAAAACAGCTATCTTGAAGCTACGCTGTTCGCGATCGCCGCTATAGTGATGAGTGACCTTCACAATCATTTCTGCACACGGCGCACACGGAAGTAGAATTTATGCAGCGCACGAAACCGACAATTATGAACAATATATATATGGATGCTAAACTGACATCCAGGAAACGAAAGAGTATGTTAGAAACATTTTTTGGCATTTAAACGGTATTTCACTAAGATTAAAACGGAACGAAAAGTTATCCAAATTAACTTAATTTGTTTGGCATCACTACTTGCGCGTGTAGCGGTGTAATTAAACTGCAATGTTTTTTTCCTAGAGCTGTCGACTGACTTTGAATAAAGAAAAAAAACCATGCATGACTGAAATTAGCTACTTTTATCTCCGGTGTGTTCAGAGCCTTTAATACTTTTTGCTGCCCTAAATGAAGTGATAAACTGAACTTTTTTTTTCAAGCTCGAAATCATATTTCTGGACCTCAGATAGATAAAAAGAAATTGTGTAATAACTAAAACATCATAAAAATAAATAAAAATAAACAAATAAATAACAAAGACAAAGACAGAAAAAGGCACATGTGAAAATTCAGTTTAGCTGAACTACTCTGTCAACGAGCGCATACGAAGTAAAGTAACGAGGGTCGATACAAAGAAAATTTAGACGTGAACCTGTATAATAAAAAGCTCATCGAAAAAAGAAATGTCTCCTCTGATGCCTACTTCGATGAATCCTAGATTATACCTTTCGACTTCTTCAACTCAAAAAATTGCAAAATGGATTCCAGATGCCCATGTAAGCTTTTCACTTGTATGAGTTAATATTTTGAAAAGTATATTTCTCTTCAAGCACAGTAGT